TTGATTGATTTTCTAATGTTGAACCATCCTTGCATACCTGGTATGAATCCTCCTTGGTCATGGTGTATTATTTTTTTGATGTGATGCTGAATTCTATTGGCTAGAATTTTGTTCACAATTTTTGCATCTATATTCATGAGAGATATTGGCCTGTAATTTTCTTTTTTTGTGGCGTGTTTGCCTGGTTTTGGTATCAGCATTATGCTGGCTTCATAGAATGAATTTGGAAGTGTTGCTTCCTTTTTTATACTCTGAAATAGCTTGAGTAGTACTGGTACAAGCTCTTCTGTGACTCTTTTGTAGAATTCTCCAGTGAAGCCATCTGGGCCAGGGCTTTTTTTTGTTGGGAGTTTTTTTTATTACCTTTTCAATCTCTTCTCTTGTTATGGGTCGGTTCAGATTTTCAACATCACTTCATTGTAGTTTGGGTAGGTAGTGTGTTTCTAGAAATTTATCCATCAATTTGGATTATTTTGAGGATAAAAGAAACTTTTCCTATTTGGACACAGAAAACTCTTCATAGTTTCTTGTTAAGAAATGAACGTATACTCAAAGATCAGTTCGTCATTTTAACAGAGAGAAAAACAAATTCTAGCTTTCTTACTTTTGTACACCACTCATGTAATGTTTGCAGTAAAGAATTCACAAACCTTTTCTCTCTCCTGTGAATAGACTCGTCAACATCAGTCAATGTTTGTCAAAATTTCAACACATTTCACTCTTTCTTTCAAATTCATTATTTGCAGGTATTAATAAACTAACGAAAATAAAATTTAATTCCCTTAAGCTTTCTATAAGTTATAAATGTTATAAACTATAACTTATAAATTCTATAAACTTATTAACTTAGAAATATGCCTTTTATTATCTTTTTTCACATACTAGCACACAACCAGACATTTTTACTTTAATATAAAACTTCATTTCTCTCTTGATAGACAAAAATACATTCCATTACCTTGTAGACACGTTCAGAATTTTTGCAGCTATTGTTTCTAGTATAGTGTGGTAGGCAGAGTTGCTGCTGTTGTTAGGTGGTGTTGAGTCAATTTCAGCTCATGGCAACCCCATGTGACAGAGTAGAACTGTCCCATAGGGTTTTCTTGGCTGTAATCTTTATGGAAGCAGCTCACCAGGTTGTTCTCCTGTGGAGCCACTGGGTGGATTCAAACCACTACCCTTTCAGTTAAAAGTCAAGCACTTAACCATTGCACACCAGGGCTCCTAATGCCCCTCAAAGTGTCCACATCTTAATCCTCACAGTCTGTGAACGTGTTACATTACAGTGACAAAAAAAGGATTAAGCTTGCAGATTGTCCTATCTTTTCCCTATTTTTAAATCAAATAATATGCAAAGGAAGGGAGTAGCCTTCCGTCTGCAGTGGTCGCTTTTGGGGCTTTAGCTGTTCATTCTAAGCTGGGCAGCTGCTCTTCTTAGCCCAGGCTCGATCCCAGGGTGAGGTCTACGCTCCTACATTCTCCTCTGCATCCATCCAGCGTCCCTGTCCACTGCAGGGGCACTGCTGAGATCCAAGTACCCTTTAGGTTCCGGGACCCTTTGCAAAACCTGCAACTTGTTCCTCCTCCAGGTTCACAGAAAGATAGCAACCTTCTGGTGGCCCAGCCACTTCCATCTATTTCTCTCTTGCAAAACAAAATAAAACATATGTTTTTAACCACAATTTTTTTAAAAAAGGATATTAAAAATTAAAAAAGCTACCACCAATGCTGTCCTCATTTTTGCTTTTCAACCTTGAAAATGTCCAGGGTCACAAAACCAGTCTCCATACTCCATCTAGAGTGTAAAATGTCACCATAAGCACAATAACTGAAATATTTTTTTCAATTCTGTTGCCCTTCTTCCATCACTTCCCTTATAAAGAAAGAAGAACTTTCATCATCTCACTTCTGTGTAACTCAAATTTGTCTTTTAATGGTTTATGGGGGTTAATGAGCTGATAAAGTCCCCAGCCTGCTGAGCTCAACAAAAGTGCGATCTTGGCTGGAGTTAAGTCTGATTTAATGATAAAGAGATAAGGCAAGTTGCATAGAGGACTATCCACATACGAAGTATCTTCTCCAAACTATTTTAAGTGCCATCATTAGAAAATAAATATGCTACATTTGGGAGTTTTCAGGCAAACCATTTTTGTCAGCCACTTCCTCAGTTATCCTCAAGTCAATGAAGATGCTTAGTCTTCCCTATTTCAGTAATTTAGACATCAGCATTTCTTGCCCAAGCTAAAATAAGCCACCTAAACATAGGACAAGAGCAGATACCAACGTTAAAAGGACCCATGTTTTATTTCTTACTGCCTGAAATGAAGATATCTTTACCTTCTCCCTTGGGGTTCCTTTTCCTACACTGGAGAATTAAACAGCAAACGAAGAGATCATTTAAAGATATGTATGAAGGGAAAATATTTCCAATAGCTTTTAGGAGCTAGCTAAATATATCTCATCTGGGGGTTGGGAACGAGGAAGGAATTCAACTTGGACACTTGCCAGTTCCATCTGATAATTTTTAAAACAGCCAAGTTCGTTACAGGCGCTTATTTAGTTACTTCCAGAAGTCAATTAAAGGAATAGAACTGAAAGCTGCAGGTGGGATGAATTCATTAATTATTGGTAATGTGGAAAGTGCTTTGTAAACTCAAAGTAGTCCATGAATATGTCATTCTAAGTACCTTTATCGCTGGGAGTAGCAAGATTAATACTGATTAAGTGAATTAAGGAAGCAGAGTTGGATTTTATTTTTTCACACAAAGAAAATATGCCAAATTAGTAAATGTTAAATGGTAGAACCATGCAGAGATCCTCAGGTGACCCCATTTCAAAGGACACCTGGTTACGTATTAAGTGTAAAGCCCCTCTCCTGTGCTCTCAGTGTTTGTCCTTGCCTTGCAGAAAGGTAAGAAGTTAGAAGTCTGATATATGATCTTGTTCTCCACGTATTTGTGGTTTAACTGTTGTTAAATAATATAGGTACCAACACAGCTCCCCTTAACATATTTTTGAAATTGTAGCAGAGCTACCATACATTTTCTTGACTTCTGTGAATATCAAGCAAGAATGTAATAATAACTAACATCTGTTAAGCTCCTCAGACCCTGCTGGTGCACTGGTTACGTGTTTGGCTGCTAACCAAAAGGTCTGCAGTTCGAATCCAACAGCCGCTCCTTGGAAACCCTATAGAGCAGTTCTACCCTGTCCTATAGGGTCAGTCACTATGAGTCAGAATCGATTCGACGGCAAAGGGTTTGGATTTTTTTTATTTATTGAGTTTCTCAACCTCATTAATCAAAAACCAGTCCAGTTGCCATCAAATGTGTGTCAGACCCTATGTGTGTCAGAGTACAACTGTGCTCCATAGGGTTTTTCAGTGGATGAGTTTTTGGAAGTAGATTGCCAGGACTTTCTTCAGAGGCACCTCTGGGTGGACTTTAACCTCCAACCTTTTGGTTAACAGCAGAGCAAGTTAACAGTTTGCACCACCCAGGGACTCCTCTGATTAATCTCTGTGTTAAATGCCTTCTGTACTTTGCTCCTTTAATCTTCACAATAGTTTTTTAAGGTAGGCACCGCTCTTGTTCTTCATTTACAGATTAAAAAACCAGGGCTGACAAAGGTGAAATTATTTTCCCAGACGTTCAGTCCCACCTTGTCTAGCACCAAAGGCCACGCATTTGCCATGATGAAATACTGTTTTCTCTGTTGATGTGCCTAGTTACCCAATGGAGAATGGCCAATGCTGGGAAACAGGCCCTTCTGCACCAGCGTGGACTATTGTTCTCCTTTTCTCCTCTGTCACGATCTGTTTCTCTGCCTTCTGCTTTCTTCTTGACCTCACTTCAACTCTTCCCTTCCAAACTGGCTTGGGCTCAGCTGCTAATCTAAAGGTTGGCGGTTCGAGCCCACCAAGCAGCGCCGTGGAGGAAAGTCCTGGCAGTCTTCTCACATAAAGATTACCCTTCCCTGTTGCTGTCGAGTCGATTCCGACTCATGGCGGCCCGGTGGGGTGGAGTGGAGCTGTCCCATAGGGTTTCCAAGGCTGTAGTCTTTGAGGAAGCAGACTGCCATACCTTTCTCCCATGGAGCAACTGGTGAGTTCAAACTGCCACCAGTGCCCAGGTAGGGACTGCAGTTGAGAAGTCTCTATGGAGTAGTTGGTTCGCTCTGTAACATGTGGGACCACCATGAGTTGGAATTGGCTCGACGGCAATGGGTTTTTCAATGGGTACGGGTGTGCGGTACTATGGGAACGCTCTACTATTTTTGCTTTTTTTTTCTGTAAATATAAAACGCTTCTAAAATTTAAAAATTATCAATAAAAAATATTTGTTGTGCTTCCATTAAAAAAAAAAAAAACTCTTCCCTTGCTTTTCTTTCCCAAAGGCAAATACGCCATGCGAGACCTCGTCCACAGGCTGCCAGGAGGGAACAGCAACAATGCTGTGAGCAAGGCTATGTCGGATGACACAGTGACAGCTGTCTGCTGTACCCTACACGAGGTGATCACCAAAAACATGGAGAACGCCAAGGCCTTACGGGATGCCGGCGGCATCGAGAAGTTGGTCGGCATCTCCAAAAGTAAAGGAGACAAGTAAGTTAGGCGGTGACTTCATAGCGTTGTCTTAGGAGAATTGGTTCAAAATGTGCCTGCCTTCTCCTGGTGATGGGTAAGCTCTTGAATGTCACTGAAAAGCCTTTGTCTCTGATAATCAAGAGAAGCACAGTGAATGGTTTCCAGTCTCCACGCCCACAATGAAACTGATCTTACTAGTCTTTTGATTGGATAAATAGCTCATCACTTGGTGTCCACTGCACTGCTGGTGGACTTGACAACCCAGTGTGTATATTAAGGGTGTTCCTTCAATGTGGAAAAGACAACTAGCTTATCAGCACACAGTAGGGCATTTTTTTTGTTCCTCTGTGGTTACACGTGCATGTCACTGATGCATCCACATCCTTTTGCTCTGTTGCTCTGCAGCTCTGCATAGCGAGTCAGCGTGCAAGACGCGTAAGGGAGAAAATGGAATATGTTGGAGTCAGAGGTCCTTGGGTAACACAAACGGTTAAGCACTTGACTATTAACCAGAAGGTGGGCAGTTTGAACCCACCCAGAGACACCTTGGAAGACAGGCCTGGTGATCAGTTTCTGAAAGGTCACAGCCTTGGAATCCCCATGGAACAGTTCTGTTCTGCACACATGGGGTCGCCATGAGTAAGAATCAACAGCAACTGGTTTGGTTTTTGATTTGGAGTCAGAGAGAACCGAGTTCTAACCCAGCACCCTCCCATACTAGCTATAGGATCTAGTGCAAATTATTTAACAAGCTATAATGCCTGTTAAGTTCTAATCTCAGGACGAGGGTGGGGCTGTCATAATATGCCTCCTAAAAGTAGGTAGAGAGGGCACTGGGAGGGCGGAAGAGAGCATTCCTGTGAATGGAATAAAAAGAGATAAGGCTCTGTGTCAAAGCAACTGCACCTCCCCAAATAAGAATGTTTCCCCAGCTTGATTTAAGAATCACTATATGTACCAGAAAAAACATTTTCACAGGACAGAGTGTCAGTTTATCAGGGAGCTGTCAGTTGTTCAGGAACGTTCACTAACCTTAATTAAATTTCGCCTCCTGGAAGTCCCTCAATGTAATCAAAGAAGATTAAAAGGGTAGAACCTTTAGTTGTCAAGGGTCTATTTCTTAAATTTTCATTCACTCTCCCCTCTCCATCCCTTTACATCTAAAGGCTAAATAAATTTTTCCTTCATTATTAAAGGCTGTGAGGGATTCACTTGGAGACTTTTGGAAATTCTTATTACTATTTTCATTTAATTCAGTTTCTTACCATTGTATTATAAAAGAAGTTTCAGGGTTTCTGGTTAAGTATCCTGAGACCTCCAGACAAGTTCAATCTACAATTCAGTATTAGGATTTGAATACCATATTTTTATGCAAATAACATGCACCTTCTGTGTTTGTTTATGCTAATTTTTTTATAGCAGTATGTGGAAGAGGATTGTCATGGCGGCATTTGTGAGAATGCCTCCTGGTGGGAGGGTGCAGCGGGCAAACAAAGGCAGAAGGCACGTGTTATTTGCTTAAAAATATGGTACTTTTCTGTGTCAAGTAGAGAAGCCCCATTGGGTTTAGGTGTAATAATTTAACAATATAGATTTTAGCTTTAATGATATCTTATGATATTGTAAACAAACAAAAAAGTTGACATGGAGTCAATTCCAACTCATGGCAAACCATGTGTGTCACAGTAGAAGTATGCTCCACAGGATTTTCAATGGCAGATTTTTCAGAAGTAATCACCAGGCCTTTCTTCCAAGACACATCTGGGTGGGCTCGAACCTCCAGTCTTTTAGTTAGCAGCTGAGTGTGTTAACCGTTTGCATCACCCAGGGCTTCCTGGGTGATATTGAACTTCCAAGAAAATGCTATTCTACTCAGGCAGTAGCTGTATGATTTTTTTCCTTCTATAGTTTCAGTAGACCTTTGAAATTTCTAACTCAAGTGCTGACCTGTTCTGAACATTAGGAACTTATTAGTGTTTTTTAAGCAAACACACATACACACACACACACACACAAAATAAAAACATAGTCCACACAACACTCTGATATAGCTATCTGTTTTTATGGATGACTCAAAGATCAAAATACATGACTGGGGAACTTTGAAGAGTGGTTTGGAATGTATTAATGTATTCCAATTATGTGGGCAGTGAGAATCACTAATGCAGTAAGAATCTCTAAAAGCCAACCGAAACCAATTGCTGTTGATCCAATACCGACTTATGGCGACCCCATGTGTGTCAGAGTAGAACTATACTCCATAGGGTTTTCAGAGGCTGAGTTTTGGGAAAGAGATCGCCAGGACTTTTTTCTAAAAACTGGTTGCCAATGAGTACTAAATGGATCTTAAAGAGAAGAGATGCTTTCATCAGCCCTATGGTGAAAGAAAATTATGTGGTCAAATTAACTAAAAATCATTTGGGGAAATTATCTGCATGTATATGTATCCTTATTGCCAACCCAGAAAATGGCCCTGGGACGTGGGGGCCAGTCTTGATGGTTGATATGGGAAGTTTCTTCCCCTACAGATGATCTCATAAATGCCCTTAATTTCACTGAAAATTTATGTAGTCGCTTGTTTCCTCTCATTGTTCCATTATCTTTTTTTCCAAATGTCAACAGCTTAGATTTACGAGTTTAATAAGAAGTGTTAAATTGGGCTGCATCCTCACAATTCTAATCCTACTGCTTAGTCATTCTCATCCATTATTTCATGCAGCATGTCACTTTTCTATACACTGACTAATTTGGGGGTCAGAACAAGGTTTTTATAACCTCAGATATTCTCAGAATTACTCCCTGATCTCCTACCTACACTTCAGTTTGGTTATTGCTTTTCACTGCTATCAAAGCAAAATGAACCTAGAAGAAGTGCCTCAAAGCTTAGCCGTAGACTCACCACTTATCACCAACTCTGTCATAACAGTAGACAAAGAGGTTCCCATGGCCTTCTAGACATATTTTAATATAACAGAAGTTCTTTATTGAAAACAGAATTTTTGAAATTGGGGATAATTTAATAATTGGAAACAAGAGCAATATGCATCTGTCCTAATTAATTTATAAAATACTTACGAAGCCATCCTCCTTAAATCATCCTTAGAAAATTATTTCCAACAATAAATTTAGTTCAAGCCTGATTTTTGTTTGACATAACAGAGGAAAGCACAGATGGAAGAAAATGTGCCTTGCTATGATTCTCCATTTTGTGCCTTTATATGCTTTATTTCTAAACATATACAAGCTTAAATATGCCGTGGTATGAATGGGTCAAACTGGTGAGTTGCTAATGACAACTGAATGAAAGTCCATCTCGCTGTATCTTGAAAATACAACCCCTAGGCCTGGTGTTTTGGGTCCCCTGCTGCTCGTACATCTGTGTGGAGCAGCCACCAGGAATTGTACCAGCAGACATCTTCAGCCACCCTCATTTGACAGCTCTGGCAAAGATCCAGGCATCGTGTAGTCGTTACTGACTCTTCTGCGAGTCTTATACTTACCACTTCAGAGTCTTGATAACTTTCTATTATTCTCTTCACATCGTTTTAAACACACATTACAGCCATTCTGTAATGTCCATTTGTTTCAAAAAGTACACTTTTCTTTTCTCTTTTAACAGTTATATAGGAAATAGTGGGGAACGTGTCACTGTATTTTGTCATAAGACAGAAAAGCTATTAACAGTCTCAACTGTGACTTGTCAGCGAAGAACTGTGTATTGTGGCTTGGGTTATAATCACTTGTCACATTAGAAACGCTCAGTTGTTAAAGCCCTTCAGTCAATAGTTACAGTTCTTCAAGTCGAAGTTGCTATGGTATCGGTCTAGTGGATCAAAATTAAAGGCTGAGAAGAAAGCAAATAATTCTTTAGCCTTCAGTGTTATTATAATACTCTGATGTCTTGGTGTTTTAACTGAGAGGTTAAAACCTGCTCTTCATCAGACATTCCCAGTCTCTTTCTATTTTGTAACTAAGCGAAATGCAAAAACAAAAATTACACTGTGTCAGAGGAATTTCTGCATACTAAATATGTTTCAGCTACACTTATCACCACTTGAATGTTAATATATCTGCCTCTAGAATAGCTTGACTATTTTCATGGACAAATTATCTAGCTCATAAATATAAAATGTAGCATTTAGTCAATGTCCAGCATTGATTATGTAAGAATAAAATGTATCTATGCCTGTATTCTTGAAAAAGTCTAGAACTTTCTGTCTTTAAGACAAAGGAATTCAATGTTGCATTAAGAACACTATCACAAAATTGTCCAGTCATTTAGCAAGCCAGTTTTATTAAAACAAAATATATAGGTAATCTTTCAGAGACACTTTTTTTTTTGAATTTATAAGAACTACATAGTATTTTTTCCCCTAAATGCTTTATATAACCAATAGACTTTCCAACACAACCAAAGTTGAATTCCATCTCAATAATTATAATAATGAATGACTGTACTGTTGTCCTGGAATGGATGGCCGAAAAAAATCCTTAAGCTTACCAAAAACTGTTGCCGTTGAGTCGATTCTGACTCAGAGCGACCCTATAGGACAGGGTAGAACTGCCCCATAGGGTTTCCAGGGAGCACCTGGTGGATTCAAACTGCCAACCTCTTGGTTAGCAGCTGAGCTGTTAACCACTGCACCACCAGGGCACCACCTTAAGCTTAGTTGGTCTAAATTACAAATGTGAAGACCCAGAAAAACAGCGGCCATTTTATCTACCACGTATTACCCGATGTCGTGGAGTCAAATTAGCATCCCATAATTTCATTGTAGAATGCATGTTCTTGCAACACCCGTTTAGTTTGGCCCTCAAATCTGACCTCATCCTCACCCCATCTAACCATCCACTTACATCCTATTTCAAAGTTCATTTTATTTCAGTGGCTTTTTTGGGCTCAGTACAGATATTCTCTGTAGTGGGCCACTGTCCTGACCAGTTTCAAGGGCTGTCATTCACACTGGGGCCGATCTAAATGGCTACGTTCTGCCCAACCCCAGGAGTCACCATTCACAGAGACCAGGGGTAGACAGACTGCAGCCAAATCTCACCTGCTGCCTGTTTGTGTAAATGAAGTCGTACTGGAGCACAACCACACCTGTCCCTGTAGTCTTGTCTACAACTGCTTTCTTGCCGCGATGACAGAGTCGAGTAGCTGCAACAAAGACCTGATGGCTCACAAAGCCAACAATATTTGCTATCTGGTTCTTTTTCAAAAAACTGTGCGGCTGGCTCCAGATAGCCATAACGTGAATGGCGGCGTCTAGACTCGAAGAGCGTGACCCCCGTGAAGCCACCCATGGGAACACAGAATCAGCAGGTAGCTGATCATTTCCATGGCCACCAGTTGAAGTGAATTCCAAGAATTTGAATGAATTAAATCAACACAGATTTCTGTTTTGAAGGCATAGATGGGGACTACACCAAGAGGCAAAATATTTACAGTAGTTTTATTTTCAAAGGGATCCGTGGCTGACAAATGTGAAGAATCGCTCCACAGTGAAAGTCTGTGTGACCTTGGTTACTCTCTCTAGTCCCCAGCACGGAACTTTAAGTGTACGCAGGGCTTTATGTACAGATGCTTGTAAGAGAGTGTGTGTGTACACCCCCGTGTGCCAGTGTGTGTGCCAGCATGTGCATGTCTGCGTTCACTGCCCATCTCAGGTGCCCATCACCACGCAGAGGAAGGTAGAGCAAGCCCTCATGGCAGCCCCCTGTGTGTCAGAGTAGAACTGTGCTCCATGGGGTTTTCAATGGCCAATTTTTTGGCAGTAGGTTGCCAGGCCTTTCTTCCAAAGCACCTCTGGGTGGACTCGAACTTCCAACCTTGTGGTTAGCAGCTGGGTGCCTAACCATATACTCCACTCAGGAACGCCTGCATTCTGACTAAATGCCAGTAAATGCTCTTAGGTTTGCATTTTGAAAAGTCTTTGCCCAGAGGATAATGCATTCCTGTCTGTCACCCTCATGGCGGTGTGGATGAGAGTGAGGTTGGAGACTAGTAGGAGAAACTTTTTGCTGAGAGGAAAAGAGGAAGTTTCTTGACAAAGCCGTGTCTATAAACTGGAGCCCAGCTGCCCACTCACACCCTACCCTTCCTGTCTTTTCTCCACCAGACACTCTCCAAAAGTGGTCAAGGCAGCATCTCAGGTCCTCAACAGCATGTGGCAGTACCGAGATCTGAGGAGTCTCTACAAAAAGGTAAGGTTGGCTTCACCGTCGTGGCTTGGGAGTTACATGCAGACCCTGAACCCCGAGATACACCACTGGCGCTAGTGGGATACGTCACAAATGAGGGTACTTGTCTAACAGCTTTGGTAATCAAAACACATCGGAAACTTGAGAATCAACAAAGAAGCGAAAGGAGCTGACTGTGTCCCTAATTATAAACTAAGACCCGTGGACTTTCCCGACCAGAAGGACCTACATTCTTCTATATAGAACAAAATGAGCTTGGTTTTCTGGGCTTGTTCTACCATAGATTAAAAAACAGTGAAGTGAGAGATTTTGTCAAAAAGAAGACTCAAAGGGTGTCAGTAAGTAATTTTGGAGAGGAGACACAAAAAAATACAAAGATCAATTCAGGAGGAAGAGAAGTATAGTATCTCAGGGACATTGAGTAGAAGACCCCACAGCCTGACCCTGGTTACTGGACCCTGAGACCCTCACTGCGATACTGCATGGGGTCATTATTGTTGGCTGTCCCCAACTCATGGGGACCCCATGCACAATGAGATCAGACCCTTGTGATCCATAGGGTTTTCGTTGGCTAGTTTTGGAAGCAGATTGTCAGGACTTTCTTCCTAGTCTGTCGTATTCTGGAAGCTGTGCTGAAACCTGTTCAGCATCATAGCAACACACAGCTTCCGCTGACAGAGGAGTGATGATTGTTCATAAGGAGCATTGGCCAGGAATCGAACCCCGGTCTCCCACATGGAAGGTGAGAATTCTACCACTGAACCACGACTCTCCCCACTGCACGGGGTAAAAGAGGTAATGTTCCTAATGACAACGGTAGATCAGGAAGAAGAGGCTCAGCATTTGTTCAATACACTTTCCTGAAGCAGGCAGGAATTTGTATCATACACTTCAGAGGACTTTTCATACCCAAAATGGTTTTAAAAGAAAACCTTAAGATGAAAATGTCACATCTAAAAATTTTGATTCTTTACCTTATTTTCATAAATAAAAGATGCATAACTTCCTTTTGTTGCTGTTAAAAGCAATTGCCATCAAGCCAGCTCCAACTCATGGTGACCCCATGTGTGTCCGAGTAGAACTGTACTCCAGAGGGTTTTCATTGGCTGATTTTTTGGAAGTACATCACCAGGCCTTTCTTCTGAGGTGCTTCTGGATAGACTCAAACCTCCAACCTTTTGGTTAGCCACAGAGCATGTGAAATGTTTGCACCACTGTCTTAGTTATCTAGTGCTGCTATAACAGAAATACCACAAGTGGATGGCTTTAACAAAGAGAAGTTTACTCTCTCACAGTCTAGTAGACTATAAGTCCAAATTTAGGGTGCCGGCTCCAGGGGAAGGCTTTCTCTCTCTGTCAGCTCTGGACGAAGGTCCTTGTGATGCATCAGTCTTCTCTAGGTCTGGGAGATTCTCTTCACAGGAACCTCAGGTCCAAAGGACGCTCTCTGCTCCTGGCACTGCTTTCTTGGTGGTATGAGGTCCTGCTCTCGCTCGCTTCCCTTTCTTTCTATCTCTTGTAAGATAAAAGGTGGTGCAGGCCACACCCCAGGGAAATTGCCTTTACATTGGATCAGGGACATGACCTTAGTAAGGGTGTTACAATCCTATGCTAATCCTCTTTAACATAATCCAGCCTTACCTTATTAACCACAGGCAGATATTAGCATTTACAACATACAGGAAAATCACAGTCAAAAAATGGAGGATAACCACACAACCCTGGGAATCAGGACCCAGCCAAATAGATACGTGTATTTTTGGGGGACACGATTCAATCCATGACGACCACCCAGGGACTCCCTTTTTTGGTTGCTATTATTAGTTGCTGTCATGTTGGTTCTGACTCCTGGCGACCCCATGTGTTAGGAAGGGATAATTCTTTAACAACCTCATCCAGAAGCTGTTGTCTTGTTGTGATCAGACCAGCAAGTGTGTTTTAAAAATTTAACTGATTGGTGAGTCCACCAGGTTTGAGTGAATGATTGGGGGTAGAGAACACTATAGATATGCAGGGAGGCTAGAGTAGGTGTTGATAGCAGGACCGGGATTCAGAAGGCATGTGTGGGGCCAGGGAAGTGTGGCCTTCCATAAGCAACTGCCTGCAGCAACTCCTTGCAACTAACTCAAAGGGAAGAGGGAGCCAAGGCCATTGCCGCCTTCACCCCCCGCCCACCAGCCTTGCACGCTCCTGGCTGGCTGGGCAGCGGGGATACTGGGCAACAGCAAGAGTCTCACATCGTAGTGAGTGAGACCCAGCTTCCCAGAGGGAAAATTTGTCTTTTTCCAAGCCAACGGGAATAAGTAAATATCTCATAACTGTCTCTACTAAGTTATAGTCTATTTCTAGCTTTCCCCAAGGCCTTCCTACTTCCCTTAAGCGTTCATTACTTTGCACTTTTAAGTGTATACAGCTTAGCCCATATATTTCTCTTTCAAAATGTTCCTATTCCCGAAAAAGAGGTAGGTTGAAATTGAAAGAGAGGCTGCAAAATTAAGTATATGAAGAGTATTCTAGATTAATTGGAGTCTTTCCTAAGTATTTTGCACATTAGGCTAAGTCTTTCATCTACGCTGCCTTGGGTTTCATCCTGCTTTTTTGAAATTCATGTCCCAGGATGCCTACTCAGCTCCTTCTTGGATTCCTCCAGAAGCCAAATGAAGTCTCTCCCAGGAGAGGATCCATTGGTTAAACAGGCAGCTGACTGAGCGGAACACGCTATAAATTAGAAAGGAGCTGGTGGTGCTGAATCCGTGGCTCCAGAAGCTGGATGAGATATCACTGCCTCGAGTGAACGCCACCTTCCCTCGGATCCTGCGCATTTCTCCTTTACTTCTCCTTAGTGCACCTTCTCATACTTCTGTGCATAGAAAGGAAACACCTTCTAGAGACCCTACGCACTATGTGTTGAGTAGCAGCATGAGTTGTCCAATGTAGTGTTCTTCTGCGTTGGCAGTAGAGTTCCAAAAGTGTAATTGCCTTTCTAGTTCCATGAAAAAAAAGAAGAAGAAGAATGTGTTGACAAGAATTCAGTGGAACTAGAACCCAAGAGCTGAAGATGGTCGAAAATGTGATTCATTGGAGGAGATTCAAGGAAGGGTGGTCTGGAGAAATTGATGGGGAAGGTTTTAGTGGACCCATGATTAGAAAACATAATGAGCTCTTCTTAATAATTTCCAAATTATGCAGTTGTGAAATGGAACGAAGACCTTTATGCTCAACGTCTTAAGTGCCGCTAATAGCATAGCTTAAATATCAAAAAAATCTTTCCGTTTGAAAAGTCCTTTTGGGAGAAAACCCAATTCATTCATGCTTGTGAATTGTTTTTAATCCATGGGGAAACTGATTTCTATTTTTCTCCTCACTGACAATTTGTATATCATTGAAAAAAAAAATGTCTGATCCTTCTCTTTTAATTATCCAGGCTTCGGACCTATTTATGAAATACCTGTTGTTGGCTTTGCAAAGGAAGAGCTCCCCCCCAAAAAAGCATAAGATACGGGAAGCAGCTCCTGTGGTTAAAAATGACATACGGAACAATAGTTGGCAACTTCTTGAGATTCTGAATTGTGTACTACAGATTTTAAGGGATGAATTAAACTAATAGGGTGAAATCTTGAAGGATTTATAGGGCTTGCATAAATTAGGGGAAAGCGCTAAGGGCATTATGGGTAAGAGGGAAAACTGGACGAAAGAGATGCAAATTGAAATGAGAGCAGCATGTTTATAGGACAGAGTTAAAGGTCCATCTGTCATGGGCTTATTTCCTCCTAGGGTTGAGGCACAGAGCCAGAATCTCATTTCATTAGCTTAATTACTTAATTTTACTTAGAGAGGCCCGTTTAAAAATCAGAATGTTCTTCTGCCTGTGTTAACCAATAAAAATTAGATTTGATTCATGATGCATTTTGAGCCAAAGCATATTTTCATTATCTGAACCCTCAACTTTAGTAAGGCCTGGCCTTCTCGTTTATTCCCCTAAGGGAAAATAAACAATTACAGAAGATTGTGATCTCATGCAGGCTAAATAGTGCTTCACCTTTTAAAATCCAATCTTGGTTGCCCCCAACTCATGGCAACCCTATGCGCAAAGGAATGAAAGATTGCCTAGTCCTGTACCATCCCCATGATGGGTTGTGAATCCTACTGCTGTGATCCATAGGGTTTTCATTGGCTGATTTTCGGAAGTAGATTTCCAGACCTTTCCTCCTACTCTGTCTTAGTCTGGAGGCTCCGCTGAAACCTGTTCAGCACCATAGCAACACACAAGCCTCCACTGACAAGGGCTGGTGGCTGTGCATGAGGTGCATTGGCTGGGAATCAAACCTGGATCTCCCACATGGAAGGTGAGAATTTTACCACTGAACCACCACTGCCCTCCTGACCTCAAATAGAATTTTTAAACGTCATTATCATCTGTATCATTGCAGAGCATGTTTTCTCAAGGAAAAGAAGACAACCCTTTGGAGTAGACTGGATTTGAGGGAAAACAGAAGCATGAGATCAAAAAGACTTAACTCTTAGAGCCTGGGTAGTTTACAAAAATGGAGTCAAGACCATGGTAGCTGTGGTCCATTCGTCCTTTGAACTAATCTTTTCCTTGTATCCTGTTCTCTTCATTCTCCTTTGCTCCTGAAGGGGTGAGACCAGTGGAGTATCTTAGATGGCTGCTCACAGGCTTTTAAGACCCCAGACGCTACTCACCAAGGTAGAATGTAGAACATTGTCTTTATAAACTGTGTTATGCCAGTTGAGCAAGGTCGAGAAGGGAGAGTGTTGACGTGTCGTGGGGTTGTTAACCAATGTCGTAAAACAATATGTGTACTGACTATTTAAGGAGAAACTGTTCTGTAAACCTTCATCTAAAGTACCATAATTTTTTTTTTTTCTAATGGGGTCAAGGATATAATTGGGTGCTTATGTTCAACTGGAGCCCTGGTTGTGCAACCCTTTGTGATGCAATGGTTAAGCGCTCAGCTGCGAACCGTAAGGTTGACCGTTCA